CCCGCGGCCGTGTGGCTTCTCTGCCCCTGTAGTCACTAGAGCCTCTCTTTCTCCGTAGTTTGCTACTGTCTATAAAGCGAGGGATAAGAACACCAGCCAGATCGTGGCTATTAAAAAGGTGAGTGTCGGAATGTTTTCCCATCGTGTGATCGAGTGGTTGCTCTTGACCTGCCTAATGATTTGTTTTGACCCACTTAATGGGTAATGGGAGAATACATGGTTTTTGTTTATAGATTTTTTTGTTTAAATGATCTAGTTAACCTGTATTTAATGCCTTCCCCCCCTCCCCCCCCCCCCCCAACAAAGACCAGCCCCTCTTACTACATTTCTGAGTTTCTGAAGGGTTTCCTGGTCTGTAACTTGAAATTTCAGTTGTTAGATTTATTTAAAAAAAAAAAACAAACCACACATTTCCAAACTTCAGACTTTATTAGTCCTTGATAGTGGCTTTTTTTTTTTTAATCTTTCCTCCTGCTGTGCCCATTTCCTTCGGTCCAGGAATGTTACTCCTGATTAAGTTCTTCAGGATTAATTGATGGTAGCTTTTTGACAACATTCGACAAAAGTGATCTTAGATCTGCAACTTACCTGTTTGAATGCAAATGTTGCAAATGTCTATGTTGTTGTAAAATGTTTCACTTCACACTATCTGAAGAGATTGCAGGAAGTTTTTGTATTAAAAACAGGTGATTAGCTGTGCTTTGTGAGGGATGAAAAATGCACATTACAGTGCTTTGATTAAAGAGCCTACTTTACTAGGCAAGTTGAACCATATCAATAGTAATTTTGTTTGATACACTAATCCCTGTTAGCATTATAATACTTCTGTATGGTTGCTACTAGTAGCAGCTATTGTGAAAAGCATTCTTGGGTTTATCAGAATATTTTCTTAACTTTTATCATCTGGAAATACCAATGGTGGGGTTCTGGACTTGAAAATTTCAGGGCAGTAGATGATTGAGATAAAAGGACTTTAAGCCAGCCCAAGTTTACAGAGTATGCTAATTTTACTAGAATCATTCTAAGATGACTGTGAATTACTTTGCCCTCATTTCTCCCTGAGGAGAAGCTCGTTAGTGGTATAATAAAGCTTTGTGGCTGCAAAGCATTTTATGCTGCCAGTTTGCATTATGTCTGTTTTCAGCGCCATCATGACTATTTTTAAGCTTTTATAAAACCTAATGCTGTAGAGACAATTTTTTTTTTTTTTTAGGAAAAACAAAACAAAACGAAAACAACCCTAGCTGGTAAAGTGCTTCATGGTACTGGAACTCATTCTGTCTTAGAAGAGTAATACTAAAGAATGTTTCCCCTACTGTTGGGGCAGATGGCTTAACCTTATATAATATGAAACATTTCTTTTCAGATTAAACTGGGACATAGATCAGAAGCTAAAGATGGTGAGTTTTAAAACAAATTCATGCTGCAGAAGCTGTGCTTTGTTTGCTTTGTTTTTGTAAATTGATACATTAATTTTCCACACCATAACTTGGCTGGGAAAAACGAGCTCAACTTTCAGTGTAAGGCTTAGTAGAGGATTGCTTCTAAAACTTCAGGGACGGAAAAAGGCAGCAGAGATATCTGCATGCATAGTATATGTCTAAATCTGACTATATAACCATTTAGCTTCTCAATTTAAGTGGAATACAAACATGAATATAGCATAGAATAATAATCTTTACAGCACTGAGTTTAGAATACCTTTTTGTATTGATGCATCTCTGCGCCTTAAATATTTAAGACAGGTGAGAGTATTTATGTCTGTTTTCAGATGTTTCTTTTGTTCTATTTTTGTGATTTATGCTGAGACAAAAGTTGATAAAACCAAGATCTTAAAACTCTTGCTCTGTGTGGGTTTGTTTATGTTGAGAAATCAGATCTATAGAGCAGTGTCTTTTGATCATGTGCTCTGACCAGACGCGTGCGTTTAGGCATGGATACTGCAAGTAAAAACCCAATAATCCTGGTCTTCTCTTACAGCCTGTGTGGTGCAGTAGAATTTTGTATGTATGTAGGCTGCCATCCGTCAGGGATCCTGCATCAGGTTACCAGCTTTTCAGTGAAAAACCTTTGCTCTCAAATCTCCAATTCCGTTCTAAGGGAAGAATTTTTAAAGAGAAACTGAGCACTCATCCCAGAGTCTCACAGTTGAGCCAACTGCCAGAGAGTTGTGATCCACCTGGGCTTCAGTGGACTAATGTCCTTTAAAAACAATCATTACTTTTGGCCTATACAATGTCCAGCTATAGTTCAAAGGTGTTATTAAAAATAATGATCATGTCTGGTTTCCCTGTGTTATCTGATAACCTGGCATACTTTTTTTTTTAATCTAAGGCTTTGCCCACCCAAAAGCAGCCGTTGTCACCTTGATTCCAAAATAGGTAATTAAAATAGGCAAAGCGGGAGTGTAAAGTAATCCATGTAGCTTTGCCCAAAACTTTGCTAGAGTCTTAACGTGTTGAATCATATCCCAGGTTTGGGTAGAACACTGTTTTTCAGCTCATGCACAGCTGAGACTTCCTGCACAACATACTACAGGAGCATTTGCTCTCCAGTCAGTTTTTGTACAAGCCATACGTACCAGCATTTTTACCATACCCTGCAGGAATCATGGTTTGATGCGGTGCAGTCAGTGTGACTGCCAAAGTGCACCATTCACCCCCATCCCCTCCCAGTTTTTCCTCTATAAAATCTGTCTATTAAAGCATTCAAGCAAGGGTGAGCAGGTTTGGGCCACTGTACCTTTTATGGCACAGCATGAATATAGAAAAACAGTGCGTTGCCTTATTAAATAATGGTATGTCAAAAAGAAAAGAGATACATTCATGAGCTTTGTCGGTGTCCTTCCCTCTGGAAGTGAGACACATTGCAGAACTGATATTTGCAAGATGTAACTTTTCTTTAAAATAAAAACAAAGCTTACAATACCTTGAAAAAGGTGGGTTTTTTCTAGACTTTTGATAGAACTTTCCCTTTTTGCCAAAGGGGAGCATGTTGCTTCATAATCTAAATCTGATTACTGTTGTGTAGAATTTATTTGCTGTGGGAGAAAGTGTATGTCTACTTTTATTCTGCAGCAATCTACTTATCTATGGGAACGTACTTGTTATTTACAAAATGGTTGAGCGGTGATAAAGTAGTTTGTAGTAGTAAATCGTCAGTGGGTAACAGAATGAGAGGTTTCTTTGGAGCTTAATCCAAAGTTTTTAATATTGTTCTTTCTCTCTTTTTTTTTTCTTTTTTTTTTTTTTCAATGTAGGAATCAACAGAACAGCCCTCAGGGAGATAAAATTGTTACAGGAGCTAAGCCATCCGAATATTATTGGTGTAAGTAAAATGAATGCTACTTCTAGAATCAGCCCTCAGATACTTCTGATACAGGGTCAAACTGAAATTTAAAATTAGTTGGGTCATGGAGATGCTACTTAATTTTATTTGAGCTATTTTTTCCAGCCCAAAATGGGCAGTAAAACAATTGTTATGGTGAAACACCTATTTCAATAACAAAGACAAAGTAGTTTCTTTTGAAATCCTCTTACTTTTTAGCCTGGGGCTATGTGGGTATTAATGGTGGGGAGAATTGTGGAAATTTAATTACCTGATTTTGCACCTCTCTGATAGACTTGCAAATGAGTGCAGTGCTGAATTTAACTGTTTGCTTGCTTTGCGTGGAGCTGGTGACAGCCAAAAGCAGACTTTTGTAAGCAATGGTGAAGTGGGATTCATGTGGCTTATTAGGTTTTAGTGCTGATACCTAAAACCTCTGTTGGAAGGAGTAAAACCTATATCTTTTTGGTTGCATTTAGGTTGACTTCCAGCTACAGATACCCAGCTGCAGCTAAAGATATTTTAAAATTAGCTAATAGTGATAGTTTGAAGGTCTGCCATAAGTATTAGGCCAAATATGAATTCTCCAGCTATTTTATTTAACTTTTTCAGAGTGGAAATATGGTTCTCGTCTGGATTGTGAACTTATTTTCAAAGTGGTTGCTTTAGCTGTCAGAGTTAGACAATGTGCAGAGAAAGAAAACTAAAATGGTAAAGGGATGGAGCATCTTCCTTATGAAACAGTCTGGGATTCCTCACTCTGGAGAGAAGGCTGGGAATGGGGAGGTCTACAAACTGAGGTGGTAGGTAAAGTGCACGCAGAACTGATACTTGCAAAACCCCACAGTACAAGAAATAAGAGATGCGTTTAAAACATTTGCGGGGGGGGGGAGTGGAAATTGTACTACTTGACATTAGGTAGTGAATTTCTCAAATGTGTTGCCACAGGCATTGTAGAAGCAGATAGCATCAGCAGTTCAAAAAGGAATTAGACAAACTTATGATCAGCAGGTCCATAAGCAGGTACTAAAGGCAATAGACAAGGTTGTACCCCTCTTAGCAGTCCTGATAAAACCGGTGCGGATGTTGGAAGTGTAAGGGGCATGAATTACAAAAAGTGGCCAAGCCTGTAGGCTCACCTGCGTAGTATCTCCTGTTACCATGGTTTCTGCAGAGGAAGAGCATGAGCACAGTCACTGCTGTCACGATCTGTGGAAACAACTATCTTGCAATTGGGTAATTCATACAGTCATCATACTGAGACTGTAAGGAATGAGCCGCACCATGGAGAGCATACCTTCCTGATCTTGAGGGTAGAATACCAGGCCAGATGATCTGTTGTTCTTACTCAGCATCATGCTTGTGTTACCTCAAATTAAAAGCCGATTCTGTCGTTATACAGCTTCATCCTAAGAAAGGGCCACTTGGATATTCTGCAAAGAGTTTTATTTATCCTAGAAAGCTTGCTACAAAGATGAATACATGCCGAAGTTAATAGGCCTAACACTTAGAATTTCTAAATACTGCATGCTTACAGGAAGCAGATACACAGAGCTGAATTCATGGGAAAACTAGTCTGGTCTCAAGAAAGGGTAGGAGTTTTGTAGAATAGCAAAGTTTTGGGTGAGGACAAGGTGTGCATTAGATTATCTGTTGTAGCTAACATAGTAAAGTTAATTCTTTCTCGATCCCCCCCCCCCCTCCAGGAAGGAGGGGCAATTGTGTAAAATGTTATTACTGTACTTAATGGGGATTTTTTTTTTTTTTGGAGACTGAGTTAAGAAGCTAAACTGAGTAAGAATTTTTTTTGTATTGCAAATTGAAAAACTTAAACCAGTTCAGCAAGCTGAAAATCCACATGCAGACCACAATGGCACAGAATTTTAGAAAACTGAAAGTATGAGAGTATGCTTCATCATAATGTATTTTGTTTTTCAGCTTCTAGATGCATTTGGACACAAGTCCAATATTAGTTTGGTGTTTGATTTTATGGAAACGGATCTAGAGGTAAGATTTTTTTTTTAAAGACTTTCTTATTTCAGTATCTTCAGATGGTTTTTGAAAATACTACTTTAACAGGCTTACATTTGCCCATGTTAGAAAGGTGACTTTCATTATGTCAGTTGATTAAGATCATGTCTTAAAAGTAGTTTGAATAATCTGACAGTTTTTGTGAGTTCTCAGCTGATAATGCCTTTACTTTTAAATACTTGTCAGCACAATCTTCAAGAAACAGACTATGTTTACTATGTTAGTTTTCTGGGACTCCAGTCAGAGTGTAGAACCTCAGTCATAGACCAGCATCTCAATTGCTAAGTGTAATATCATCAAACGTGTTCAAGTAAGTGTGATACTAAAATATGCCAAGTGATGAGCTGGTAATAAAATCACATGTACCTGAACCATTCTTTTAAATGTAACAATGCTAGGTACTTGCAAATCAGCACCTTCCAGATGTTTCATTCTACAAGACCTTGTGTCAGTTTGTCTTTGTGGAAGTCTTTGTACGAGATATGTCGATGCAAGATTCTTCATTGTGGAAGACTGTCCTAGACGGCAGTTCATGTCAGATCTGTATATGCATGCATTATACCTACTCTGGACAGAAATTACTGTAGTTGTTAAGCTAGCTCGTTACACATATGCTGTTAAGAACTGGGGGTAGCATTTAAAATATTAAAAGAAAACATTGACAAGCTTGCTGAAACCTAGATGAATGCAAGACTGAAAAGTTTAGATCAGTTTTTTGCTAGTAGAAGTTAAAGTAACGAGTAGACTTTCTAGAGGATTCATTCTATTTACTTGGTAACTATGCAACATTTAGAGCTGAAGAAGATATGGTGTACAAAGAGGAGTGAAATATTCTTGTACTACATAATGCTGTGGTATGCAGAGCATTTAACTTTATTGTGGTATCACTCGGGCCACCATTTGTGGCTGCAGCCTGTTGTGATTGAGCATATGCTGCATACATGAAATTTTGTGTAGTCTTAGCTATTTTGGAAGTCTCAAACAACTTAAAGCTTAGGAAAGGCTATTACTGAACTGGACAGTAATATTAGCAAGCAAGTTTTGGGAGGTAGTGTAGAAAATACTTTCAAACAGGATGTTTACACAGAATGTTAAAAATCAAAGAATGTAGAAAACATAAGTAGATTTGTTAAAATATAGTAAAGTGACTGTACTTCCTGGTCGTCTTCGAAATAGAAGAGGAAACCATTGCATTTACAAAGATCAGATGCATAGGTTGCGTGGAGAAAGAAGGAATAAGTGGGAACACAATTCCAAGTTTACCGACATGTTTATCATTTTTATGTGTACATCTTTGTCTTGTAAGTTTGGATATCAACCTGGAACTGAGATAAAATAATAAACTCGTGTTTCCGACCCATTTTCTCATTTGCTGGTTATGCAAAGTTCATGTAGGCTACCTGGACTCCCCACTTCAATTTCTGATCTCCAGAATAGACCTATTTTACTGGAAAAAGGGTGGGAGTGGTAGAGAATGTGACTGCCAATTTGAATTTCGTCTTAAAGGATGAAATAACTTTTGAGCTGAAAGAATGGAAGTAAGTTAATCTTGCATGGTAAGCTTTACTATTAATCTAACACTTTACAGGTTATTATAAAGGATACTAGTATTGTGTTGACACAATCCCACATCAAGGCATATATGCTGATGACACTTCAAGGATTAGAATATTTACATCAGCACTGGATTCTACACAGGGTAAGCATGTACTAAATTGACAGCCTTTATGCTGTAACAAAAGTCACATTTGATAGAATTTGAGTCTAAAATCTAATGAAGATAATTTTGAAGTTCAGACGTTCTTAGTCCATAAGCATTCATGCTAGCTGTTTTGGAGAGGCCATAGCAGTACCAGACATGTTAAGAATTACTGATGTGGTTATCATTTAAATACTTATATAAAAGTGTCTCAAGTTACATGTGATTTTGATTAGCACTGTGAACCGGTCTGGCTGGGATGGATTTAACTTTCTTCGCAACAGCCCGCGTGGTGCCGTGTTTTGGATTTGTGCCTAAAAAGAGTTTTGATAACACACCGATGTTTTGGCTATTGCTGAACAGTGCTTGGGCATTGTCAAGTCTTTCTCTTCTTCCCACTCTGCCCCCGCCCCAGTGAGTAGGCTGGGGGTGGGCAAGAAGTGGGGAGGGGGCACAGCTGGGACAGCTGACCCGAGTGGGCCAGGGGGATATTGCATGCCATATAGTGCCATGCTCAGCAATAAAAACTGGGGTAGAGGAAGAAGGGGGTTTTCTGGCTTCCAAGGTGACTGTTGCTTAGAGACTGTTTGGGTATCAATCTGCTTGTGGAAGGTGGTGAATGATTACCATTGCATTGCTTGTTTGGGTTTTTTCCTCTTTCCTTCACCTGTTAAACTGCCTTTATATTGCTCCCAGAGTTCTCTTGCTTTTGCTCTTCTTATTCTCTCCCCTATCCTGCTGAGAGGGGGTGGGTGGGATGAAAACAGAGTCAGCAAATAGCTGTGTGGGTGCTTTGCTGCTGGCCAGAGGTCAGCGCACCACACACTGTTACTGTATTAAACTGTATCACTTCCGTGATTTCTACAGTTACCTGAAACATTTGCAAAGTCTTTTTATTATTCATTTGGCAACTGTGCAGTTAAGACAGAACGGCTGTTCCTGCAGCAAAGTTAAAACCTATCAAGAGGCAGTCTTTTTAAACTCTGCAGCTTAAATATGATAATATTCAAATGGGTCTGTTTCACTATGATTTTAATGTATGATTAAATACTTGATTTCCCGTTTTTTGTTTTTTTTTCTCCTCATAATGTAGACTTATGATAGAATCAAAAACCTGCATTTTAGAATACTGTTAATGGCACACCTGCCAGGAGGTTCCTCACATGTCTGTTTTTATCAACACTGACAAAATTCATTCTTTGCTTTCTGTACTGACAGGATCTTAAACCAAATAATTTGTTGTTGGATGAAAATGGGGTTTTAAAATTGGCTGACTTTGGCTTGGCAAAATCTTTTGGAAGCCCAAATAGAGTTTATACACACCAGGTAGTAACAAGGTAAGACATTCTGGTTTGTTTCTTACATAGTGATTGTGTAGCTGTTTTGTAGTCTCTTGAAATATGTCATGTCAAATCAACATGTTCAAAGTTTGACATCTAGCTCATGTGATATGGCTATAGTGGCAAAAGCTTCATAAAGAAAATACAAGAAAGCATAGTTTAGCAAAGTCTCCATAAAGACAGCTAGAATATGCATCCACAGGGGTTGTTCTGGGGTATGATAACTCTTTTGAAATGCATGAAAATAATATGTGTCTGCCTATAAGCCTGGCTTTCAGAGCAAGACAGCTACTACTTTCTGTTAGTCATAAGACCTAGAAACTTTTTCTCATATCTAGTCACATTACCTATTATGAGAGAAAAGCTTGAACTAATTAAAATGTTCATTAATGTTATTTATGGCATGCTTATTTAAGGGATGCTTTAAAAAGCAGGACTGCAAAATACGCAAGGTATTTCCTTTTGTCTGCTGTAATGCTAAAACTGTTCAGGCAAAGCTGGTTTGTTTTAACACCTTTATTCAAAAGGCAGAAATGCTACAGCGGTTTCAAATGCAGCGCGTATCAGATTATTGCATTAAACTTATTTTTCTTAGGCAGTGGAAGTAGCTGTTTTAAACTGCTGTCAAGGTTCATTTTGCGTAAAACTAGTCTCTATACTTAGGTCTGTTGGCATGGAGATTTTTGGAAGCTGGAAGGAATGCTGTCTTTCTGTCATTTCTTCAACATAAAGTTTAAAGAAAATTTTGGTTTATAACATGCAAACCTCCCTGTTAAATACTTTTTTTCCTTTGCACATCTGCAGTTCCGTCACTTGTTAATCAGCTCGGTTGAAGCTGTAGTTAATTTGTGGGTTATACGTGACCCTGTGGTGAGGAGTACACAATTTTGTTCAGTCTTTCTTAAAATACTTTGCAGGGTAGAATACAGCTCTTGAGTGTCTGAAAAATACATAGGCAGGAGCAGTATCCTCTTTGTAGTTCTTGCATTGCTACAATATACAACATTTGACATGAGCACAGCCAGGTGATTTTCCCAAAATGTGTTTTCTTTTCAGGTGGTACCGAGCCCCAGAACTATTGTTTGGTGCTAGAATGTATGGTGTTGGTGTCGATATGTGGGCTGTTGGTTGTATTTTAGCTGAATTGCTCCTCAGGGTAAGTCTTCAGATGTAAGCATTTTGTATTTGCTCTTCAGTGCATTACAACTTCATATGTGGGCTTCCTCTCTTCTGCTAACTGCAGCAGGCAAAGGTAGTTAGGCTATTTAGGAAAGGAAGAAGGTGAGGGGAGGAAAGCTTCCAAAAGCTTGTAACTGTAGGTTTTTTAACAGACTGAGATTCCATAAGCATTGCAATCATTGGAAGTTTTTAAAAACATGTGGGTAAAAAAGTTGCAACAAACTGTCACAGCATGCCTTGGGGAAGGTTGAGTAGATAACTTCTCCAGTCCTCTGAGTGTTATCCTTTCATACAGCCTTCTATCAGTTTTCATTTGCTATCCTTCTAGAAATGTGACATCATAGATACATGCATACTCTGTCCTTTATGCATTGTTCCTCGATAACTGTAAATAATTATCACCAGTACCTTAATTGTGGTTTTATTTGTAATGAGCAGAAGAGTGATGTCTTTCTAAGCTGTGGTTAGTTGACAATACTGGAATGAAGCTGAAGGTTAACAGCAGGCTAATCCTATGCCCCTCCTGAGTACCGTACACAGATGTAATGGTCCTTAAGTATGTTTTACTGAAGTAGACCATTTATTAAGCAGCTCTTTGGAGAGGACATGAAAGTGTGAGGTGAGGAGTGGAGGGTAGGGACACAGTCACAGCTGAAAGCATGAAGTAGCCTGCAGTATAATTTATCTTCCGTGAGTAAGTGGCTTCTGCTTGGTTTTTGCACCGTACTTTAAATGTTTGTGTGGCTATGTCATGAACCAGATTGGGGAACTGGTCGGTCTGAAAACACCTTGAGAGAAATCTTTTGCCTTGCTTTATCACACAAACAGCTGTGCTGGTACAATTTGGTTGGCAGTTCAGAAATGGAAATGTACAGTGGCTGTTTAAGCAGCACTAGTGGTGTGTACATAAATATGCATTAGACCTGCTAAAATTGGATAAGCTCAAGGAAAGTCAGAAAGCAATTAAGAAATTGTTGAATTCTGTTGATTCTTTGGTTTCTCACAAAACAGAAAAAGTATTATGGTTCAGTTTTATCACTGATAATTTTAAACGTATCTGTCCTTTTTCTCGCTGAGTGTACTGGGTTGAGGGACAATGCAACTTCTGGGAGCTTTACAAAAGCAGTTTGTTCAAGGGACTTTCATGACACCAAAATTTAGTACACTGCCTAGTAGGGATGTTCATTACTGTCTTTCTGTCCTACTTAGTTAAATACTGCCTCTAATTCTTCATAATTTTGCTTTGGTCACAAAGTGCCTTTTTTCTTGCATTGTGTGCCTGATGAGCAAGCTACAAGTTGAACTGGGCAAATATCCCCTTTTCTGCCTTCTGCTTAGTTTAAATGAGATGTGACACTGATTAGGCAGTTCCTGTCCTAGTGGGTCACTACTTTCCCTCATGCTGTGATCTCATTCCATCAGTCTAACTGCTGCTTGTGTAATCCAGTTACACTTCACTTCAAATGTTTTGAATATATATAAAACTGCTTCAGGGAGCAGATGGTGGTGGTGAAGCACTGGAACGGGTTGCCCAGAGAAGTTGTAGATGCCCCATCCCTGGAAGTGTTCAAGGCCAGGTTGGATGGGGCTTTGAGCAACCTGGTCTAGTGGAAGGTGTCCCTGCCCATGGCAGGGGGGTTGGAAATAGATGATCTTTAAAGTCCCTTCCAACCCAAACCATTCTGTGATGAAAAGATGACTGTGACCAACCGACTTTAAACTGGCAACTTCGATGTAAAATCTTTCCTCTCCTGTGTTCAGTCATTTTACGTTAATGTGGTGGTGGTTGAATCTTATGTTTAGCTCTCTGCTATCAAGTCAGTGATATTAAACCTGGGTTGCAAGAAACCTTCAGAATCTACTCGGACATCACTAGAAAGCCTCAAATATTCAGTGTACCTCTTTGTGGGCAGCTGGTATACAAAGACGTTTTGCCCTGCAATTATGAGGGATAGCTCAAAGCTCCTCTCTAGAATTGAAGTTCAGAAGTTAATTCAATCAAGTTCCTCTCTAGAATTGAAGTTCAGAAGTTAATTCAATCAAATGCTTTTGCCTTCTTCCAGGTTCCTTTTTTGCCTGGAGACTCTGATCTTGACCAGCTGACAAGGATATTTGAAACACTGGGCACTCCAACAGAAGAACAGTGGCCTGTGAGTCCTTTTTTTTAACAGACTGACATTAGTTTTACTTGATACTATTTTAGCTTTTGAAATTACATTAAAGGGTATACCAGAATAGACTTGAGTAGACTTTCAGAAGGCAGCTGCCTGATCTTACAAAGTGGAGGATAAGCAGCTAAGATTCATTGTTTCTCTTGGAAAATCTCTAGTCAATATAGCAGTGTTGTTAGCATTAAGCAACAGTAATGAAACTTCTTGGTTTCCTTTCTGTGTGTATCCACAGTTTCCCATGGCTATTGGTGTGAAATTATTGTTGTTGCTTAATGTCTTCGAGATGCTTGATTAATTAGTCTGCTTTAACCTGAAAGGCTTTAATCACCTTCAGAAGTAGGAACAGTTTGTAGGGACTTAAGTTGGCCTGGATAAGTTACAGTTTTGGCATACAGTAAGAAATACCAGACCAACAGCTTTAGGGATAAACAATTTATCTCAGAGTAACGGTAATGTACAAATACAAATCAGTAGTACAATTATCTCTGAGATGACAGTAAATTCAGTAATACCAGGCCAAACTTAGTGTCAGGGCACACAATGATCTACCTAACCATGGTTATCAGGCAGACTGACAGGAAGCAGGGCATAACTTCTGATGAGCGACTTGGACCAGCTGATGGGCACAGGGAGTCCTGAATTCCCTGATCAGACCGTCCTCTTTTGTAGTTGAGTTGTGGAAGCACTCTCTGGACTTGCCAACTGGTTATCGCATCCCATCTCTGCTCTCCCTCTGTGCCAGTTTTCCTTTGTGTGAATGGTGCTTGGATGCTACCTGAAGTAGTGCACAGTCACCAAATGGAGCTATAGCCATATATAAGACCTGTGGTCACCATATGGAGGAGACACTGTATAAGGCAATACTAGCCCCACATTTTTCACCCCTTGTGACTGTGTGGGGGGGAAAGGGTGGTTGTCTTGCCATGGCAGCATAAGGCCAAGACTGATGTTGACACTACCTCACTGAGAGTGTCAGGTGTGGAGAGGAGTCTGGTGATGGAGCAATGAAGGGTTAAATTGAGACAAGACGGTCAATAAGGTGATGTGCCAAGAAACCATCAAAACAGTATGGGTCAAAAGCCAAGTACAAATCTTTAATGTGACAACTAAAACAAGTAAGAAGCCACTCAAAGATAACTAAGTAAAGGAGTAGGATGCTCCATATCCCCCTGATGGTGGGAGGCCATCCTAAAATGGATTCCTTCCAACTATGTTTGACTTTTTTTTAAAAACACTTTCCAGGATTTGTTTGATCTCTGGTACCATGATTATTAAAGTTTGTTGTGCCTGCTTCTTTGCCTGTTTCAATAGTCCATGCGAGTCTTCATGTTGCAAAAACCATTCAATTAGAGAGAAATTCATACGGATAAAAGGGTATGGATGATATGGTGGGTGTGGGAAGGGAAGTAGGAGAGGGACTTGGAGATGTGGGAATAATATTACAGAGAGCTATCAGAGCATTAGCCCAAAGGCATACAGTATCAACAGAGTGAGAAAATACAAGGGTCATGCTACAAAAGAGTTAACATAGGCATACAACATGCTGATTGTTGATCCACTGATGTGTTGGTCCCTCAACTGATACTGAGGTATTCTCCCATTTGAATTGTTTACAATCCCACAGTTAACTGTGACATTCTGCTCTTGAGTTATGGAGGTATAATATAGTCTCAAAGAAGGATTCCATACTGGGGAGCCGTGGGGTCTTCCTCCTACCAGTGTTAAAGTAGCTAGGTTCCATAAGCCGGGTTTTCCCATTTGTCAGTACAACTTGAATACGTTCAGTTCACTGCATTTGAAGATGTACTCCACAGTGTGCTGCAAACTGGGCTAAAGCTGTAACAGTGGAATAACTCCGATGCTCATGCAACCAGTGAGCTACCATGGTGGTTCCACATTTCAAGTTGCAGGTTTGGGCTAAGGTTTCCTCAGTTTCATCTGCTACTATTGGGCTGCTATCAGCTTGTCATGGGTGTCAGCGTCCACTGTCACTTCCACCCCTCCAATTGCAGGCATCCACTCAGTCATTCAACCTAGCCTCAGCCATGGGGTGAGCAGAATGAGATCAACATAGCCCACGGCCAAAGTGAACAAATATCTTCCTAAAGAAGGTGGCCCCTGATTTCTATGGTAAGGGTGCAGAAGGAGCACGCTTTCCAGGGGGAAACTCACCAGGTGCACCTAGAAGAACAGCCCAGGGGTCAGACAGTATGGACAGAGGAGCGAATGGCTAAGCAAAGGGCCAGGAGTTTTAGCCGTCTGGGCAGTACCATGGCAATTGGCCATGACGATTTGGCCATCAATGGTATAGACAGTGGTGCCACACCCAAACCAGGTATTACTGCAAAGGATTGCTAAGCCATCAGTAAACCAGGTACCCTCCTGCGGGGTGGTGAAAGGAGGGACGTAGGCAATAGGCAAATCTGAGTGATTGCTGGTAGCTACAGGAATGGGAGAGGCAAGGTGGGTGAGAATACAGTGGTTGGGGCCTGAAGGTTGGGCTCCATCAGTGATGACAGGGGTACCAAGAACTCATTATTGAGTGGCAATGGATTGAGTTCATCCTTCAGGGAAAGGAATGTTGTAAAGGATGTCATGAGGAATAGGATGTAGAATCCGAAGTGTAAGGGGATGATCCCCAAGGAGTTTGTCAATGTCAGAAAAAGTAGCAAGTAAAGCACGCTCCTGTTCACAATATGAGGCTTGTGCATCTTGCCACTCCTTGCTACCAAAATGGATTGGTTTAGGGATAGGGTCTTTGGAACTTCTTCCCTGGAACAGTCCCCACCAGGCACCATTTCCACTCTTCTGGACCCTGAGTTCAAATCTGCCAGTAGGGGTGAGGGATCCTAAATATTGATACTATTGAATACTTTTTAGGAGAAGTGTTAAGGCCTATTGATGACTTGTGTTCCAGTCCCAGGTGAAATGTTTTTGCAGCAAGGAATACAGAGAATAGCTGACTAAAATCAGGAACATGGGCATGCCATAATTTATAAAGTGCCTAAAATCTCTGGAAGTTGTGTTTGGAGGAGGGAGTAAGTAAAGATAAAATAGGTTGCAAGATGATTTCAGGAGTACTTTTGGTACCAGCGCACAAGGAGACTCATACATTCTGGGCAGGACCCTGGCATTTACAGGGAGGAATAGAAAGATCCCAGTGTTCTTTCAGGGCTGAAACTAAGAGGGTCATGTCTGGTGCAACAGATTGATGTGTAGGTCTGCCCAGGAGAATGTCGTTGGTATACTGGTGGCAAGAGAGATCAGGAGTGGAAGAAATTTCAACTAAGGCTAAGAGACCATGAGTAAGGGTATGACTATGGTGATAATATTGAGGTAAATGAGTGAAGGTGTACTGGATGCTATTCCATGTAAAAGTGAAGTGACCTTTGTCATTTGAGTGGATGGGGCACTGGAAGAACATACCTTTAACATCCAAAACTGCCATACATAGGTAAGAAGCAAGGCAAATGGTGTTGAGTACTTCAGCAGCTATTAGGACTGTTGTGTGAAGCAGAGAGGAGGCAAAATGTATGCTATGGTAGTCAGCAGTCGGATGCCAAGACCCATTTGTTGGGTTTGTCCACCGGCCAGATGGGGCTGCTAAATGAGGCGTGGGTGTGAATGCCTACTTCCTGTTCTTCCAGTCCTTAAAAAGGGGGGTGGGTGATGGGATTTTGGGCTCGTGGTTTTACAGGGTGCTGCTGTAAATTAACAACATGGGTCACTGGAGGTAGGGAAGGTAATTACTGGAACTAGCAGGTGGTTTGGTTCAGAAGTACCAAGATACTGTACCTTGCCTTGAGCATCATGGAAGGTTTGGCTTCTGAGTAGGTTCATATCTAAGACATTAGAATCTCCCAGAACTGCAGAACCTTGGGCCATATACCTGTTAGGGAAGTCATACTTGACAGGAAGAGCTATGAGTGGTCCTGTGAACCTGCAGACTACTGCAGTATGAGGGAAGTGATCCCCTCCAGTGTGTGATCTATTGACAGAAATTTGAGCACCTGTATCAATGAGGCAACACAAACAACATTTATTGTTGATGGTGACATCTAGCACTAGATTGAAAGTCCATATAAGCGACACCCTCCATAGCACCTCAGAGGGACTTGTGGCTTCTGATCAGCCCCCTGTGGTGCTAATTGGACCTCTAATAAGTTTGGGTAATACAAGGCTGGGGTTTCCAGGCTCCAGCTGATGGAATGGCAGGCGGGGCACTTGAGCCTTTACCTCCGATGGGAGAATGTGTGGCACAGTGCGGGGTGTTGGCAAGAGCTAGTAACGCTGATGCTGGGACTCTGTGTATTGCCTATTC